TTTGCCTAATTCAATATGTCACTTGATTTCTTGACTGTTGCTTCCATGAGTGTTGATGGTTGATCTAAGCAAAATGAAGTCTTTGACTTCAATATTTTCTCTGTTGATTAGAATGTTGTTTATTGGTCCAGTGGTGAGGATTTTTGTTTTCCTTACACTGAGATGCAACCCACACTGAAGGCTGTGGTCTTTGACCTTCATCAGTAAGTATTTTAAGTTCTCTTTGCTTTCAACTAGCAAGGTTGTATCATCTGCATATTGCAGGTTTTTAATGGGTCTTCCTTCAATCCTGATGCCATGTTTTCCCTCATATAATCCAGCTTCTTGGATTATTTGTTCAGCATACAGAATTGAATACATATCGTGAAAGAAAACAACCCTGGCACACCTTTCCTAATTTTAAACCATTCAATGCTTCCATGTTCTGTTTGAATAACTGCCTCTTGCTCTATGTACAGGTTCCTCATGAGCACAATTAAGTGTTCTAGAATACTCATTCTCTACAATATTGTCTAGAGCTTGTCATGATCCACACAATTGAAAACGTTTATATAGTCAATAAAGCACAGGTAAACATCTTTCTGACATTCTCTGTTTTCAGCCAATATCCATCTGACATCAGCAGTGATATCCCTCATTCCACATCCTCTTCTGAATTCAGCATGAACCTCTGGAAGTTCTCTGTCAATGTATGGGTGCAAGCATTTTTGCATTATCTTTAGCAAAATTTTACTTGCATGTGATATTAATGATATTGTCTGATGAGTCACGTCTCTTTGGAATGGGCACTAATATAGATCTCTTCCATTCAGTTGGCCAGGTAGTTGTCTTCCAAATTTCTTGGCAGAGATGAGTGAGTGCTTCAAGTGCCCCATTACTTTGTTGAATGATTTCTATTTGTATTCCATCAATTCCCAGTGCCTTGTTGTTTGCCAATGCCTGCAATGCATTGGAATTCTTCCTTCAGTATCATTGGCTCTTGAGCATATGCTACCTCTTGAAATGGTTGAACTTCGACAATTTCTTTTTGGCACAGTGACTGTGTATTTCTTCCATCTTCTTTTGTTGCTTTCTGCATCATTCAATATTTTGTCCATAGAACCCTTCAATATTTCAAGTTGAAACTTGAAATTATTTTCTTTAATTCCCTCAGCTTGAGAAATGCTGAGAAAACCTTTTGGTTTTCTAACTCCAGGTCTTTGTACATTTCATTATAATATTTAACTTTGTCTTCTCAAGCTGACCTTTGGAACTTTTGTTCCACTGTTTTACCTCCTCATTTTTTCCACTTGCTTTAGGATCTCTACACTAGAGAGCAAGTTTTAGTCTCTTCTGACATACATTTTGGCCTTTTCATTCTTTCTTGTCTTCTTAATGACCTTTTGCTTTCTTCTGGTCTTTAGTGTCCAATGCATCAAATCTGTTCTCCAGATGATCTCTAAATTTAGGTAGGATATATTCAAGGTCACATTTTGCATCTCATGGGCTTGCTTTAATTTTCTTCAGCTTCAGCCTGAACTGATGATATGGAGCCTTTCTATCTTATCATTCCACAGATGTACTCAATTTGATTTCTGTGTATTCTGTAGAGTGAGGTCCATGCATATAGTCATCTTTTATGTTGTTTAAAAAAGATTTTACAATGAAGTCATTATTGGTCTTGCAAAATTCTATCATGCAATATCCAGCATAGTTTCTATCACCAAGGTCATTATTTTCTGCCTCTGATCTTTCCTCTTTGTTTCCAACTTTTGCATTCAATCACCAATAGTTTTCAATATATCTTGATTGCATGTTTGATCAATTTCAGACCGAAGAAGTTGGTAGAATTCTTCTGAATTTCATCACGACTGGCTTTAGTTGTTGGTGTGTAAATTTGAATAGTGTACTGGTATGAATGGGTCTTCCTTGTAGGTATGTGGATATTATCCTATCACAGACAGCATTTTACTTCAAGACAGATCTTGATATGATGTTTCTGATGATGAATGTGATGCTGTTTCTCTTCAATTTTTCTGACAAGGAAACCATGTGATTATCAGATTCAAAATGGCCAATGCCAGCCCATTTCAGGTCACTTTTTGGTGTTTATGCATTCCATTTAACTTTTGATAGTTTCAAATGTTGCTAGATTCATACTTGGTACATTGCATGTTGTGATTATTAATGGATGTTTGCAGCTGTTTCTCTTCACTTTGAGTTGTTCCCCATCAGCAAATGAATGTTCTGAAGGCTTTACTCCATTCGCATCACCCACGGCCAGTTCTACTTGGAGGAAGCAGCTAAAAAAAAGCAATCTCATTTTGAGTGCCTTCCAAGCTGAGGGACTCATCTTCTGGTATTATAGCTGACAGTATTCTGGTGCTTAAAGTATTCCACTGTTGTTCATAAGATTTTCAATGACTGAATATTCATAATTAGTGTATCTCTTCTTCCTAGTCTGTCTTCATCTGGAAGTTCAGCTGAAAGCTGACCAGCCTGGGTGACCCTGCTGGTATTTAAAATACTCGTGGCATCGCTGCTTCTAGCATCACAGCAACATTCAAGCCACCAGAGTAGGACAAACTGACAGAAGAATGTTGGTCAATTAGCTTCTTGTTGTTGTTAAGTACTGTGGAGTCGGTTGCGACTCCATAGTGACCCTACAAAGGGTTTCCAAGGCTGTAAATCTTTACGGGAGCAGACTGCCTCATCTTTCTCCTGTGGAACTGCTGGTAGTTTTGAACTGTCAATCTTGAGGTTAGCAGCCCGATTTGTAACCACTATGCTACCAGAGCTCCTTTAGTTTAGTGAATGTTTAATAGCCTTTTTTCTGATCTCTTTGTTGGACCAGCTCCTAAGTGCTTTGAAATGTTTTCTTACTTGAATGACTTTATTAGCAATAGAAAACACACCAATATTGCCCTAGGAGTTAAGCTAATTAAAAGCTGACTGTAGGCTCCATTTATAATTTCATCTTTTTGTTGAGTAAAGGTGGATTGAGTAAAGGTGGAACTTAACTTGAGTGAGGGTAAGATTTGAACACCCTGAGACTGCCTCATTCACATAGAGGTTTGGATTCACAACACTTAACAAAATGATGATCGTTATAACAGACCACTAAATAAAGGCCAATCCTACAGTACCTAGTCAAGTTGACACATCTTTGGGGGACACAATTCAATCCATGAGAGAAAGGAAGAATTCCAGGACCGTGAAACCCCAGGATACCCAGCTGAATGAGTAAGGATGGTTAGAAGGGTAGATTCTTCCTTTGAGGTAGCACAGGGGTATTCTGGTCCCTGCTCCTGGATGGATTGTGGATGGCACAACCTGGTTGAAATTTCCAATGATCCATTCTGAAAGGCCAGCAGGAACCCCATCACCCTCTCCCTGCACCACATGTGCCTCCAAACCTATATGCAGAAGAGAGCTGTTGAAAGGAGGCAAGAAGACAGTGTCGGGTGAGGCCAGTTGTTCCAGAAGAGTCAGGGGGTAGTGCCTGGGGCATAGGGTGTCCTGGTCTTATTGAGGGGGCGGCTCACCAAGGCAGGCCCCTCAGAACATTGGTCTGGTCCCACTGGTCTTACATTCATATGCTAACTGCAGGTGCTCGGTTTGTAGTAAGAATAGAACTTCAAACAGGTCTTTGAAGATAAGAAAAGGTCACCCCTTAGGAGGAAGGGGGGAAACTAGGAAGGCCTGGGGCACTTCCAGGTCCAGGAAATTTATCTGCTTGGTACCATAGTGGGAGACACATGACATGTGTTTGCCAATCCCACATGACTGCAACAAAAAGAGTATAAAATGGTGTTTAGTTGTAGCAATGTATCCATGTTGTGTCATCTATTGTAACAAGTGTACCACACAATGCAAGATCCTAACAATAGAGGAAACCATGTGTGTGTGTGTAAAAGAGAGACAGAGAGAGAGAGAGAGAGAGAGAGAGAGAGAGAGAGAGAGAGAGAGAGGGAGCACAAATATGGAACTCTCTACTTCCCTGCAATTTTTTGTGACCCTAAAAGTGCTTTAAATAATAGCGTCCATTTTTAAAAACAACTTTAAAAACTAGACCAGCTGCAGACATTTCTCAGAAGCTGCTGAAGTCAGCAGGAGGACACACCTCCTGGGACACTGGGGGGTCAGGGTCCTGGTTGCAGGAGCAGGGCAGCTGAAGAGCAGACTCTGGGGTCCCTAACTTTTGAGGAGACCTGGAGAAAGGAGTGCACCCTTCTTTGCCCATTACCTTATCTGAGAATGGAAGGCTGTAGCTAGAACACTTTCCGAGACTACTGTAGGGCTCTAGGGAGACCCTGGGCACCTAAGTCTGGCATATCCTGATGTCCATGCCCAGAAAGCCCTGGCCTCCAGATATTGTACCTTTCATGACCCTGACCCATGAGTCTGAACCCCAAGAACAACTCTGGCACAAGAGAGGGTGGCAAGCACTTAGCACCGACTGCATCGAGCGAGGTTGAGCCAGCAGCTGCCCCTCAGCTTGTGCGCTGAAGCAGCTCCATCTCTCCTCTGAGCTGCTGAGCTGGGTTCACAGGAAGCCGGACTAAGCTGGTCACATCAGCCCTGCCTTGGGGCCCTGAGTTGTCCCCCAGGGAGAAACCTCTGACCCTACTGCCACAGTGGGTACACAACCCAGGGTCTGGGAGAGCAGACAGAAGGCATGAGGCTATTAGGTTAGCATCTCCCACCCCCTATTCTGTCCTTGGAGAAGGGGAAGAGCAAAGGCAAGGCCCTTGTACTGAGAAGATAAGAGCTGAGCATCTTGACAGAAGGCTCTGCCCCCAGACTCCCCCTCAGAAGCCCTCCTCACACTGGCCCCTTGTAAAATGACCGTTACCCATCTCCTCCCTCCTCTTCCTGTGGGGCTGCAGTGCTGAGCCTGGCCTTGGGCTCATGGTCTGGTCCAGGGACAATTTTCCCCATGACGCCAGCAAGGACAGCCAGCCTTGGCCTTCCAGGTACATAAAAGGTTTGGACTGAGACAGGGTGGAGGGAACCTGGGGATGGCGCTCAGGGTTCAGACAGGCGTGAGGACAACAGGGTCCAGATGGGCTCTGCACTGGGTCCGGGCACTGGGCACCAGGGGCCCTCCAGGCCTACAGGCACCAGTGCTGCCCTTTGAAGCTATCCCCCAGTGTCCTGGCAACAAGTGGGTGAGGATGCTGCGCATCTGGAAGGAGCAGGGCCAGGAAAACTTGCACCTGGAGATGCAGAAGAACTTCCAGGAGCTGGGGCCTATCTTCAGGTAGAGGAGGCCCCCAGGAAAATACCCAGGGGGCACCTCAGCACTCTACATAGCTAAGAAGTAGGTGAGGGCACTGTGGACTGCTGGCCTGTATCCTTGACTCTGGAGGCAATGGCTCTTCACCTAGGGGAGAATGCCTGCAGAGAAGACAGAACTCTGAGCATTAAAGCTAGAGGGATTTCAGATAGACAGCAGGAAGAATTTGGAAGCTGCTGAGGCATAAATCCTGGAGGAAGGAGAGGGTGGATAGGGAAGAATCTGGATCAGCATTTGCACGGTGGGTCCCAGGTCCACACACCTCACCCAGGCCTTCTGTCCCCCACAGATATGACGTGGGAGGGGTAACCATGGTGAACGTGATGCTGCCCAAGGATGCGGAGCGGCTGCATCAGGTGGACAGCCTGCACCCCTACCGGATGCCCTTTGAGCCCTGGGTGGTCTACCGACAGCATCATGGGCACAAACTTGGCGTGTTCTTGATGTGAGAGAGCCATCTGGGACAGGGAGAGGGCCAAGGCACAGAGGCAGGGAGAACTGAGTAGCAGACCCCCCAGGTGTTGTCGGGGTCCAGGAATCACAGATGTGCTCCTCTGAGGGTCATGGTCTGGTACTGTCCCTTAAAGCTGACGGGAGGCTTTGGTAGAAGGGTGTATCACGGCACCGTCCTTGGATCAGGTAGAAGGACAATGACCACTGGGCAGGCCCTGGGGCTGGGGCAGGGAGGTCTTTGATCACAGTACGTGAGTATCACACCTGGTTGTGCCCTTCCCCTCTAGAGTTAAGGAAAACCCAGCACTGGTTATGAAAAGGGACAAGGAGGCTGGGGACATCTTGCCTGAGGCACTGCTGCCCTCAGAGTATACAGGGCGGGGGGCTGGTCCCAGGCTGTGACATTTCTTGTTGAAGGAGCAAACCTGGCCATCAGCAGGTGGAGAGGTTGCTGGGGTCTGTGGTGCTGAATACATGCTGTCATTAGGACAGGAAACGGGGACCCACCAGGAACACTGGATTATCCAAGACCTCCCCACTCTGTCAGGAAGAGAGATTCCCTGGGCCAGGACGGGCAGTCCTGGTGGGGCCCGTGTCTGTGGGTACCTGGAGGGGTCAGGACTCGGGAAGAGAAGGGCTGGGAGAAAGGTGGGAATGCAAATCTGAGGGAAAGTGAGTGTGCAAGTGTGAGTGTGTGTACATGTGTGTCAGTATCTCTGCATCTGCTTGTGCATGTTCACTAATACACCTGAGTGTGTAAATGTGCATGGGTTTGTAAGTATGCACATGTGCACGTGAGTGTGTTGTGAACATCATGCCTGTATCTGTGTGTGTCTGTATGTGAGCACACCAAGGTGTGAGTGTGTACGTGTGCACGTGTTCAAGTGTATGTATTACGAAACTGTCAGTATCAGTGTGTACACCTGCCTGTGCAAGTGTGTGTCTGTGTGTGTCTGTGCACTTGTGTGCCTGATTGTGTTTTGAATGTATTGGTGTGTGCACATGTATGTGTGTAAAACTTTTATGGTAGCAAGTTCACATGTCTATTTGTGTGTGCGTGTGTGTCTGTGTGGAAACTCTGTGTGCGTATGCATTGGTGTTAGTGTGTGTCTTGTGCACTTGGGTGTATACTCAAGTTGCATGCATGTACACATGTATATCATGGCGGTGGGGCTGAGGGTCCCAGAGGAGCCTTTCTCGATGGGCCCACCTGTGTAGATGGACACACACCTCCCCACCCCCCGGGTGCTGGCCCCTCAGGCACTCCCAGGTTTAGTCCCTCCTGCCGGAGGCAGCTGCAGTGGGACCAGGAAGGAAGCATGCCATGCTCCTCAGCACCTGCTTCTGCTCTGCAGGAATGGGCCAGAGTGGCGCCACAACCGGCTACGGCTGAACCCAGACCTGCTGGAGCCCAGAAACACCCAGAAGTTCGTGCCCATGGTGGACACAGTGGCCCGAGACTTCGCCCAGACCCTGAGGAGGAAGGTGCTACAGAATGCCCGTGGAAGCCTTACCTTGGACATCCGGCCCAGCATCTTCCTCTACGCCATGGAAGGTAGGGTAGCGCCCAGGTGCTGAAGGGGGCTGAGGGAGGGTGCTGGAATGGTAGGGGGTGGGGGGCAGGCTTGAATTGAGTCTTGGCCTTGGTGTCCCTGCAGCCAGCAACTTTGCCCTGTATGGAGAGCGGCTGGGCCTCTTTGGCCCCAACCCCAGCCCCACAAGTGTGAGCTTCCAACAAGCCATTGAGGCCATGTTGAACTCCACCACACAGCTTTCTTTCATGCCCCGGAGTCTGTCGAGCTGGATCAGTGCCAATGTGTGGGCAGAGCATTTCCAGGCCTGGGATGTCATCTACCAATATAGTAAGGCTTATCCCACCCAGGGTGCCCCAGCTCCATCCTTCTGCCCAAACCCCAGCCAGGTGCCTAGTACCATACCAATGCCCAGCAGGAACAGGTGTCCACACAAAAGGGGGTGCAGTACGGTGAGCAGAGGAAAGGAAGCACATCCTTCCTTGTACCCAGGCCTGGATTCTCCTCCACAGCCAACAAGGCCATGCAAAACATCTACCAGGAGCTGACGCTTGGCGGCCCTCAGCACTACAGCGGCATCGTGGCAGAGCTGCTGCTCAAGTCCGATCTGTCCCTGGACACTATAAAGGCCAATGCCGTGGAACTCACAGCCGGGAGTGTAGATACGGTCCGCCAACATCCAGCCAACCACACTTCCTGTGCCTACCCCTAGTCTTAGTCCAAATACTTCTAATGTCCAGTCACCATCTGCTGTGAGGGAGGGAACTGGGCATGAGGGTGGGGGGACACACAGTGAGCAGGAACAGCTATCAGGGCAAAGAAGGCCAGGGACAAGCAGAAGCAAAGAGCCTCTTTCAGAAACCCTGGACCAGCTCAGGTCCCCTGCCTAGAGGGCCAGATAAACTGACTGTGAGGAAGGCCACCAGAGGAATGACGGACAGCAGGCAGAGCAGGGGATGAACCGGCCAGTGGAGGACAGGCAGGGACACTGGAGAGCTCCCATCAATCTCCTGTCCCCTACCCATCCCAAGGGTCAACTCAGGATGGCACTATGCCACAGTGGAGCTACATGGCAGAACCCTGCCTCCTCCAATGGGATGCTCATCCTCCAGAGTTCATGGGAAGATTCCCTGGGGAGGCTGAGCATGGTGGAAGCTACAGAGACTGAATGAAGGCCTGGGAAAGGAGAAGCTGGGAGGACAGAGGGCAAGGTGGAGTAGGAGGGTCCCTGCACCAGAACCTCTGATCCAAGAAACAGAGGGACCGGCGAGCGGTCACAGTTCTGTTTCCCCAGGCCTGGTGTCACCAGAGCGGAACTGGATGGGTACACAGGTGATAGAAAGGCAATTGCAGGTGCTCCTAAGGTGGGAGAAGCAGGGCTGTGGGTGGAGATGGGTGCAGGAGATAGTAAAACTGCCGGACCTTACCCTGAGCACACCCACGCTCTTGGCTGCACTTGGGAAGGACCCTGGAGCTAGAAGTGGCTGGGATAGGGGTGGGAGCTCATTGGACAAAAAGGCTTAGGTCAGGGTCCTGAGGATGTGTGGGGAGATGACTGGGCGGAAACAGCCCCCCTCAAATTTCCAAGAGCAGAGAAAGTCGGGTTGGTCACCTTCTGGGGCTACAGGAGGGAGGGAGAGGTGGGCTACGCCCTCTCCGGCCTCCAGAAAAAGAGGAAAGTGGGTTAGGGTCATGGGGGCTCAGGAATGCCCTTTATCAAGGGGCCAGGGAAGAGCCTTCCTGGGGGCCGGTTCCTCCTGGGATGGGACTCATGTCGCCCCCTCCTCCACGGGGAGGCACGCGTTGGAATCTTACCTCCTTCTGCAGACCTCCTACTCATTGCTGATGACCCTCTTTGAGCTGGCTCGAAACCCCGATGTGCAGCAGGCTCTGCGCCAGGAAAGCAAGAAGGCTGAGGCGGCCATCCGGGAAAGTCCTCACAGGGCGACCTCGGTGTTACCCCTGCTGTGGGCAGCTCTCAAGGAGACCCTTCGGTGGGTGTCCTGCCCCTGCCTTGCTGCCTTAGACCATAGAGCAGCTCTTACCCAGGGAGAGATGAGAGACCTGGTTCCAGAAGTCCCCTGCATGCCCTCCTGTCCCCACCTGGGGGAGGGGCTATGTGTCCTGGGGAATCCCACTCACAGTCCTGGGGCCCACTTTTTGGGTAGCTCTGGGAGCAGCGGGACAAGCTGATTACTGGACAGTCCTCTGAGTTCAGCATGTGCAAGGGGGCGGGACACTGACCTGAGCTTCCCTGGTAGGCCCAACCTTGGGGGACCTGGAAGCCCAAGGGGCGGGGCGTTGGGTGGGACCCTGAAGAGCGGGGAGGGGCCCAGGCACAGCTGAGGGCTCTGGGCTCTCCCACTCCCAGGCTGTACCCCGTGGGGTTAACTGTGCACAGGCGTGTGAAATCGGACCTGGTGCTGCAGAACTATCACATCCCAGCCGGGGTGAGTGATGCCCCAACCCCTCTAGTCAGAGATCCAGGCAGACCCTCCTTGAGAAGCCAGCTGACCGCCACCTCCGTGCCTGTCCACAGACATTGGTCTACTTGTACCTCTACTCCCTGGGTCGAAATCCCGCTGTGTTTCCAAGACCGGAGCGCTACGACCCCCAGCGTTGGTTGACTAAGCCCTCCAGCACTAACTTCCGTCACTTGGCCTTCGGTTTCGGGGTGCGCCAGTGCTTGGGGCGGCGACTGGCTGAGATGGAGATGCTGCTTTTCCTGCATCAGGTGAGTGATGGGGCAGGGCGGGGCTGCGGTCAGGCTGAGGGGAAGCTGACCAGGTTTGGGTGCAGATGCTGAAGTTGCTCCCGCACCATGTGAGAAACGTGGCGGAGGGGGTGTGTGAGGAGAAGTATAGAGGGGTTCAGGGCGGGGAGCCCCTGCCCTGCGGAGGAGGAAGCTTGGATTCCTGCTTCTGTCCTAGGTGCTGAAAAACTTCCTCATCAGTACAGTCTGCTCTGAGGACTTAAAGATGGTCTTCCGTGTAGTGTTTATGCCGTCCACCTACCCGCTTCTAACCTTCCAGGCCGTGGACTAGTCGCACTGCTAACTGAGTGCTGCAGAACCGACTCTAGGACCCACCCATGCGGAGTCCCACCGGCCAGACCCTGCACAAATGGGATCCTGAAATGCTCAGAGACATACAGTGTATCAGGGCAGGGTGGTGATGAGATGACACTGGGTGGGTCCTGGTCCCCCCTCCCTTTCCCCCAGCACTGTGCCCAGGACAGTCTGTGCACCTGAGCCTCAGCACTCGCTCCAGGTTCCTCAGGTGGTCATCCAAGGGTGGCCAGAACCCAACCCTTGTCTACTTGTGCAGTCTCGCTCCTTCCGACGCCCCTCTCCCTTTACCATGCCAAAGCTGACCCCACAAGATCCCTTGTGCTGCCCCTGGATGTTATACACGCCACATTCTGCTTGACCTCTCCATGTGGACCCTCACATTCCAGTGTGGGCTGGTAGTATTTGTCTCCTGTCTGTCTCATACCAATGACATTGGCTTTGCTGGGGCAAGCCCAGGACTGTGTAATCTGTCTGCCATCCCTGCTAGGACAGGGTGGTCATCAGTGGGCCTTGTCTAGAAGGACAGCAGTAGCCAAGGCACAGATGTGAATGGCTTGGTGGAAAAGGCCAGTTAGGGATCAGGAGGCATTAGGAACAAGTTGACTGGTGGTAAGAACTTCCTAAAGGACCACCCTGGGCTAGGGGCTGCTCCCTGCACCTTGAATAAAGTCCTCTGTTTGAAGAGCTGGTTGTCCTACAGTGGCCCACAGACAAGCTAACCCAGGCTTTGCAGCTGCCCCAGATGTTCTTGGTGCTGTTGGAAAGCTGAAGCTGAAAAGGCCATGCAGCTGGTATGTGTGTGTCTGTCCCCAGGATGTGGGGCAGTGTGACGTCCTCAAGTAGGAATGTGACCAGGGAGTGAAAGTCCAATGCAACTTCTCCCTCCAGTCTTCTCCTCCTGTGGGTACCAGCATTGAGCTCATCCCTAACAGGAAGTGAGGGGTGACCCCACTGTGGCTGTGCCACCTCTTAAGGCTCTCTGCCCAGCCATCAGCTCTTCAGGGAAAAGAGTTTGCAAGGGGTCCCCTGTGTTCACCCTCTTCACCATAACACAGCACTGCTGTAGATGCACCTGTGACCAGGAGTGGTCTCCCCGCTGTCAATTCTGTGGTGATCTAGGGCACCAGGGAAAGGAGAGAAGAGAAGTTCTAGACGCTGGTGCCAGGCAACCCATGTGGGCCCAGCCCTGAACGCCTCTGCATCTAGCGTCTTTCTGGGGAATTCCACATGCAGGTTCGATCCCAGCCATGATAACACAATTGGTGTTTACAAAGCTTGCTGCTACCACAGGAGCACACTGAACACACACAAGTTCTTTCTCTGTGGTGCCCCCTGGGGTGAGCAGGTCATGTGTGAACTAGCCTACTAGTTACCACCTGCTGACCTTGAGCCCAGCAAAGGGCACATGTGTCTACTTGTCTTCCCAGTAACCTGATCACTATTCCATTTCACAGATGAGGAAACACAGTCTTAGGAATTAATTTAACTTGCCCCAAGTCTCGCAAACCATACATGGAGGAGGCACCCCCTGGACCCAGGTCTCCCCTACCCCTCCGGATCTTCCAGGAGCTGGGCATGGGAAGTCAGGCTTGGTATATCCTCCAATTCAATCTGGAGAAATCAAGGCATGTCAAGGAGGGCTGCCTGGGCCACAAGCCTGCTGCACACCCTGGCCCCTGCTTTTCATGCTTTGAGGATCTTGTGACCTTCTAAGCTAGTACAGATGGGAGAGAGCTCAGGTGGTCCTTCAGACAGGATGCTGGGGGTCCTCAAGGGAAATACAGCATCTAAAAGTCCAGGTCAGGCCCCTGCTGTCTGCCCTCCCCAGAACCTCCACACTGAGCTCTCTAGAATCCATCACCTTTGGAAAGAGTGACAAGAATCTGCAATCATTTGTCCCATCACATCCCTATTTTCAGATCTGAACACTGAGGCAAAGGGTGCCAAGACATCTCAGCAAACTCTTGTCAACCCAGCTGCCAGGGCTCCACTTTCGCCAACACTCAGACCCAATACTGGGTGCAGGGCCCTGGGAGGTCCCACACTGGCCCTGGGCAGGTGCTGAAGGGGCTCAGAGGCTCCAAGATGCCAGTGTTTAAGAAATTGTCTCCAGGCAGCAGAATAGAATGATTGAGCCAGAGAATCTGGCTGTTTCCACATCCAGGGGAGGGTGGGGGAGAGTGGGGAGCAGCCAGGCTGTCTTCCACTCCTCCTACTCCTGACACGGCCCTGAAAAAGGACCCCCTTGAACACAGTACCTGTACTGTGCAGTGAGTGGGCAGGCTGCCTGCTCAGAGCACACCAGCCGGACATTCTGGTCCAGGAGGGCTTTCACTGATGTTGGCTGAAGATACCATGACTCATGGAGACACCCTCTCCCCATGTGACAGAACATAACTGCCTCATTGGGTCTCCTTCTCCTAGGGAACAGCTGGTGAGTTCAAGCTGTCCACCTTTCAGTTAGCACGTATAGGTCACACCACTAGGGCGCCAAGAACAGTATCAAGACCAGAGAATTTCTTTCTTTCTTTATTCTTTGGCACCCGCAGACCCCGCTGACCCCCTGGCCCTGCTGGACTTCTAGACCTCCAGGTGTCCTTTCCACCCCTGCAGCAGCAGAACTGCCCATCCCGAGCTAGGCCCTGCCCTAGCCCCCCAGAGATCTCTCACACAGTTTATTTGCACCCTCGGGCCTGTCTGGGGTGCTGCATGTCTCGGTGGGCTGAGCCCCTTCCCCACCCCCCACCCCCCGCCGCAAGTTTTGGCCTGTCAAGTGGGGGGCCAGCAGGTGAGCAAGCAAATTCAGCTGAGCAGCACTGCCTTTGTTGCATACCTTAAAGTGGTGAAGCAGGTCCACCGCCACCTTGAGCCTGTCTCTGCATCGTTGCTCTAGGACGCCCGCTGGCCAGATCTTCCATCCTAACCCGCCTAGGCCTGTCCCTGAGTTACTACTAGTCGCTACCACAGCTTGGACTCCTGGTGGGGCACTGCAGGTTCACGCCTGGACTGCAACCACAGGCCAGGCAGTTCAAACCCACCACCTGCTCCTTGAAACCTTATATAGGGTCGCTGTGAGTTGAAGCCGACTCAAGGAAACTGAAAAACAACAGAAACATAGGTTGGTAAAGTGGAGGGTCAGCAAAAAGACAAAACCCTCCAATGCCATGGGTTTCCAAAGTAGTACAGGAACGGGCTCAAGTGGAACGATTGTGAGGATGGTGTAGACTCACTCAGTGTAAGGATGGTGTAGATTCACTCAGTGTAAGGATGGTGTAGATTCACTCAGTGTAAGTATGGTGTAGATTCACTCAGTGTAAGGATGGTGTAGATTCACTCAGTGTGAGGATGGTGTAGATTCACTCAGG